AAACATTCTCCACTAAAGTTGGGAGATGGAGATAGAAGTTATCAACTAAAGCTGGGAGATGGAGATAGAAGTTATCAACTAAAGCTGGGAGATGAAGATAAACGTTCTCCATTAAAGTTGGGAGATGAAGATAAACGTTCTCCATTAAAGTTGGGAAATGGAGAAGCTTCCTTACCACGCATTAGCACTACGTTAAAAAAGTGGCTTGGAATAGTTCTGGCAGTCTTCACAGCAGTAATGGCAGCTGTAAATGGACTACTTCTTAACACTACGGAAGGAATCTCACCCACCGTGATGTCCGGAATAGTTGCACTAGGACCAAGTATCACTGCACTGCCGTTTCTGATATACAGAAGAGAACCTGTTACCTTTCCCAAGAAGAAAATGGCATTAATAGTTTTTCGATCTCTTTTGGGAACGTTCGGTGACGTAGCTCGGTTCATTTCCTTCACATGCATTCCTCTCGGAGAAGCATCTGTACTGTACTACTCTCTTCCTGTGTACAGCTTGATCTTTGGACGCCTTGTATACCGAGAACCTTGTGGAATATGGGAAATTACCTTGGTGTGTCTAGACTTTACTGGAATATTCCTTGTCTTAGCTCCATCAGTCGTAAGTGGTGTTTTCGATTTAAGTAATTACGCCGAGAAGAAAAAGATAACTGGAATTGTATTTGCAATTCTTGGAGGAGTCTTTGATGCAATTAGTATTTCCATGCTTCAGATGGTCCGCGATGTCCCTTGGACTTCGAACCAAGTCTGGAGAGGTCCTGCCGGGGCATTCAGTGGCTTTATTTGTGCTTGGTTCTTCAACGAATTTTTCTTTCCTCCTTGTGGAACTGAGTCGACAATGACGTTAGCTTTTCTGTTCCTCTCTGTGTGTTATCAATTTAGCATATACCAGGCAACATATTTAATAGCAGCAAGCCACGTAACCGTTTTTCTTACTTTAGAAATAGTTGCAGCTTATATATTTGAAGTGGCTTTCCTTGGAGGTATACCAGCTATGACTTCTGTAATTGGAGCCATTTTGGTGACAGTAGCAGCAGTCATGTTTAACTTGAAAGAAAAACTGTTGTCATCGCTACGGAATTTCTTTGGAAAGGAAAACAACGAATCAGAGAATTTTGAGGAAAAATGTACTCAAAATAAAAAAGAATCAATTTTTTTGCCGTTGGATCCAATTCCAGGATGCTCTAGTAAGATTTAAATATCAATTTTTTAAGTATCGTATATAATTTTAGTTTTGATAATGAATTTTTAAGAATTGAAATGTATTCTCACGCTGTAAAAACATACAAAATATTGTTCTAAGAACCACCTATATTTCTCGTACGTAGTACACAATTCACGAAAAGTAATTCCAGCACTTATAGGACCTTTAAAGGATATCGTACTGACCTTTATACAACATTCGCGGACTATGATGCTAAAGTTTATTCAATCCGCATAAAATATTGTACTGAGGTTTATGTTTACACACCTCTCAAGGAGTATTGTACTGAGGTTTATGTTTATATATTCTTCAAGGAGTATTGTACTGAGGTTTATGTTTACATACCTCTCAAGGAGTATTGTACTGAGGTTTATGTTTATATATTCTTCAAGGAACATTGTACTGAGGTTTATGTTTACATACCTCTCAAGGAGTATTGTACTGAGGTTTATGTTTACACACCTCTCAAGGAGTATTGTACTGAGGTTTATGTTTACATACCG